TTTTTTTTGGCCCCTGTTTGAAATAACTTGGATTCTATAGCAGCAGTTGATAGTTTTTGTGTAACGCGATGTAATATCCGAAATTAGCGGCTTCCATGCAAATGATCTTGGCGCAGTCGTCAGCCAGTTGTATTCCCTGCATGCAAGGCTTTGTAATTTTCGAGTTTAATTAATTCGTATCATAAAGCGGGTATCAATCTAAATCTGTACGATTGCGCTTTCGAAGAGTCTTCGACACCTTTCTTCGCGCGCCTGTTGACTGCTGTTATTCAGCTTTTTTGGCGGAAAAGGCCGTTGGATCCAACAGTCGTTGGAATACGAGATTATGTACTCTGATTGGCCTGGAGTTTCGAATTGGCCAATAAAAGTGCCGCAGGATGTCGTAACTGCGCTCCAAGCGAACCCGTATGCGCCAAAAAACCGAGTGTTTAGCAGTGTATGAAATTTGCAGACCGCAGACTGTAGCCGTTTTAACTAATTTCTTTCCGAAAATGCTAGCTGACGTGTTTGGTTGCCAAAAACAGCAAATACGACCTTTCCGAAAACCTTAAGGGCCATGATTTCCCCATTGTGAATCTTTTAGGTCACGCTTCAGATACGAAAATCCGAATTCACTCTTCAATCGACGCCGAAAGCTTAAGGCTACATCTATCATCCACCGAACAGATATCTACCGGCTGACAATACGGACGTTTTGAAAGTCCAAAACTATTATACAGTTACAAGCTAACGTTACTTAATATCCACCTATCAGTTCTTGTAGTTCTTTTCTGAACTTGAATACATCAACCATGTTTCTCAGGTTCAGGTTTTGTTCTAAGCATTTATAGAAATACTCCGGACATTCCCCACGAAGGTGTTGCAAGTCAATCAGTGTCTGTCCATTGACCTCGGAAATGTCCTCCCTGCAAACGTTTTCCAAAGCAATCTCTTCAAGCCATTGTTTCACCTCTTTATTTGTCCATTCGGACACGGCAGAGACTGAGGGTTGGGTGGCAACAACATTCGCATCAACTGGCCGAACTACAGGCTCTACTGATTCATCTGTCTCCTCAGCATTCTTTCCCCTTCCTCGTAACTCTCTTGTCAGCTTTCTTAAACCCTCTTCAATGACGTGCTTACTCTGGAAGTCGATCCAAAGTTTTGTGCCAACAATCATTCCTAGCCAGCCATCAGGTCTGTAGTTATGCTGCATCATTAAAGGAATGATGTCTTTTCTCAACTGATAAGCATATTCGGCTTCTGATCTACAGTTAGGACTTTCTTTGTATTTCTTTGACACACAGACCAGAATAACTGAAGAATCCTCGACAGCTTTGGCCATTGCCTCCAGTGTGGAGCCTCCCATCTGCTCCAGATCCATCCACACTCTGTATCCACTCGCTTGAAGCCTGTTTTTCACTTCGATCAACACTTCCTGGTTATCCCATTGGTAGCTGATCATCACGTGATTCTGAGTTACTTCACTCTTCTCAGAGCCGTTCATGGTCTTTCCTTCGAGTTCCCATAATGTGCCTGCAGCAGCTTTTTGTACATCCGGGTCTTTACTGCGCTGTAACTCACGTAGGATCTTCAACCCTCCCACTTCTCTTCGAATGGCTTCTTTGTTGTTATTGTCGAATGCTAACATCCACAGTGCTTTTACAGCAATAGCTCGTTCTTCGTCATCGCTAGATGTTTTTAACATGGACATTAAAGCATGCACCGCTCCGTTATTGCCCAAAACCATCTTGTTGGTGTCGTTCACGGCAAGATAACTAAGGCCTTCTGCGAGTTCTTTTGCAGAAAATCCACTGTATCGGCGATCTTCCGACCGGCATGCGTTATTTAACATTGTAACAATAAAACTAAGCAACTTTTCATCAGCTAAAATCAGATGATTTGTTTCCTCATTAACTAGATAGGCCAAGCACAGCAAGGAAGCAACAGCAACCTTGGGCACTTTAGCCTTTGCAAAGGAAAGCAAAGTTTCCTCACAGTTGGCAAAAAACTCGCGGTCTCTTAGTCGCCGTGCAATGTTATGCAAAATTCCAACGCACCTGTAAATCATGAGAACTGTACCCGCGGAATCTTCGTTGCCATTTTCCCAATTCGCATTTTGATCGTCAAACATTTTAACGTTCTTTAAGCACAATGGAATAACACCAGCTGTTGCACAGGACAAACAAAAACCGTGATGAATGTCTGGAAACCACTGTATTGTTCCTAAAACGTTCTTTAGGCAATGAAAACAACTGACATCTTCCGGCGTCACGTAGTAATCCTTAAAGCATTGATGCGCCAATCTTTGCAAAACGTCGACACCTTGGACATCGACGATGAATTCTGCGATTGTTATGAACTGATTCGTTCCGCCAGATTTATAAGCTTCGTGGCCCGTATTAGCTAAACCATCAACAATCTCACTCACATTAGCGTACGTGAACTTTTTAAGTTGATTTAATTGATCATCAACAAAGTTTTTCAACGCTTTTATCCAACCGAAAAGTGTTTGTATACTTTCCGCCGGTTCCGGATAATTCCGCTGATATCTTTGTCGCGTTTGAATGTGCCAATGCCATTCCGTTGGTTTGGCTTGCGTTACATTGACTTCGTCTTTTGTGTCCGTATCTTCAATGAACATCAACTGAGCTTGTGGCGACTTCTGTACATGTGGTTGACCAGTATTCGAGTTTGATGATGATTCCTTAAGTGTGGATGTCGCTTTATCTTGAGAAGTGGCTGTCCGATTCCGTTTCGACACGCCAGAACCCATGCAGTTGAAACTGTATAACAATTCTTCCCGTCGAATGATGGACGGCGAATGTTATACAAACAAACTGAACTGGAAGACGGTAAAAATCGCTAAACTGAGCTTACTGGCGAGGTAACTTGACGCTGTTTGAGTCATTAGCAATTCAATAAAGTTTCAGGTAGATGCAAGGAAAATATGAGAGTTCAGAGATGTCCAATGATTCTTACAGCGTCGTCGAGTTTCAATAAATAGTTTTACAAAGCGAAAATTAGTAGAGTGGGCTGTTACGTCAGGTAAAGTTCCGTTACAAAAGAGTTGGCACCTCCCACATTTCGCACCCTTGGAAACAACGTGCAAATGTTGACCATCAAGGCATTGAAGCGTTAGCCCGGCAAACGAAAATTGTTCCCAGCGATCGAGCGACATCACATGGAAACTGGTAGCTCGGATCATGCTGGTAATTGCTGCGTGACTACGAACCCTGCATAAATTGCATTTGTGATGCATTGTCGACCATGCACAGGACAGACAGGACAGTAAATTGAACCAAATATCGTTGCAGTCACTATCTTTGGATATACTTGGAAAAAAAACGCTTCGAGAAATGACATGTAGCGAAAATACGGGGTTTGTCTTGTGACAATTCTCTTTAATCACTCCTTAACTTGATAAGAGCTAAGAGCTATGAAAGAGCTTACCCAAGCGCTTTATCAGTCCTTTAAGTGATGATTGATTGCAGATAATACTGAGTTTTTCGTCTGTTTTCTTGTTAAAAATTTACCACAGCCACGCGTTATGGACTGACTGATAAACGTATACGTAGCAAACACGCAACAGCGATCTGCTTGTGTGAATATAGCCTTATACCCCGAATGTCAGTGATGTGTTTCTTAATACTTCTTAAACGTGCTTTCAGATGCAAATTTACTAGTTTACTCGCTGTCAGTTACATAGCTAATCAAGAACCAGTCATGTGATTGCTGACATGTATGTTATGGTGACAAAATGATGAAAATACGTGTGGCTTCTTGGAACGCTATTTCCGCATTCTAAAAAATAAAGCCAAACTTAAGCTTAAGACGGTATTTCCCTTGAAAATGACGTACTATCCAGATATTTTTCAAACTTGACACAAATGATAACCATGCATAGGACATTTAAAAAAAATGCAATAAAAGGATGGGGTAACCGTGCTCGTTTTTCGAAGTGTTTTTACTGAGTCGCGCGAGAAATGTTCGAAGCTTGAACAACCGAAGAAAAGTTATTATTATCTGATAATAGCAAAAACTGTTAAACACGTTCTAAAACCTTCGGGGACATTCTAACACCGTCCTATTTTATGGAACACATATGGTGATTTGTCGCTATTTGGTCCAGAATAAAACCAAATTTATGGTAGTAAATACTTCTTTCGGTCCTTTTTTGTATTAAAAATGCATTGTGTGGTAAAAGTCCCTTTTCCTGTAGTTTTATTGCCAGCTTTTACATAATTTCAGTGTTTCCTTCAAATGATGAAGTTTTTTACCACATCTGTGTGTCCTATGATGGCAGGAAAACAACGAAAAAGACATTTGTTGCCATCTATGTGAAACACATGATGCACATTACGAATTATTTCCATTATTATAGATTGAACTCACTATTTCTTTTCTGATTAGCCGAAAGCGTACAGTGAATTTTCGAAATCAGCGCCTGTGACGTCATATGCTGCAGATTATACAAGAAACTCAAGGTCACGGGTAATTATGTATGACCGCGGTGCATGATTTCTAAGGGTAATTATGTCGAGTTCAAAGGATTTCAGCTAAAAGAAAGAACATGGAAATCTCCATGTTCCTTTAATGTCAGCTAAAAGAAAGAGCATGGAAATTTCCATGTTCCTTTGATGTCAGCTAGATGAAAGAACATGGAAATTTCCATGCTCCTTTAATGTCAGCTAACAGAAAAAACACGGAAATTTCCATGTTCCTTTGATGTCAGCTAGATGAAAGAGCATGGAAATCTCCATGTTCCTTTTGAAGTCAGCTAAAAGAAAGAACATTGAAATTTCCATGTTCCTTTGATGTTAGCTAGATGAAAGATGCTCCTTTGATGTCAGCTAGATGAAAGAACATGGAAATTTCCATGTTCGTTTGATGTCAGCTAGATGAAAGAACATGAAAATTTCCATGTTCCTTTGATGTCAGCTAGATGAAAGGACATTGAAATTTCCATGTTCCTTTGATGTCAGCTAGATGACAGAACATGGAAATTTCCATGTTTCTTTGATGTCAGCTAGATGAAAGAACATAGAAATTTCCATGTTTCTTTGATGTCAGCTAGATGAAAAAACATAGAAATTTCCATGTTCCTTTGATGTCAGCTAGATGACAGAACATGGAAATTTCCATGTTTCTTTGATGTCAGCTAGATGAAAGAACATGGAAATTTCCATGTTCCTTTGATGTTAGCTGGATGAAAGAACATTGAAATTTCCATGTTCCTTTGATGTTAGCTAGATGAAAGAACATTGAAATTTCCATGTTCCTTTGATGTTAGCTAGATGAAAGAACATGGAAATTTCCATGTTCCTTTGATGTCAGCTAGGTGAAAGAACATGGAAATTTCCATGTTCCTTTGATGTCAGCTAGATGAAAGAACATGGAAATCTCCAAGCTTCTTTGATGTCAGCTAAAAGAACGAAAATGGAAATTTCCATGTTCCTTTGATGTCAGCTAGATGACAGAACATGGAAATCTCCATGTTCCTTTGATGTCAGCTAAAAGAAAGAACATTGAAATTTCCATGTTCCTTTGGTGTCAGCTAAACTGAAGAAAGAACATGGAAATTTGCATGTTCCTTTGATGTCAGCTAGATGAAAGAACATGGAAGATTATGTTCCCTAAAATTTTTGGGAAATTAAACTTTTAGCCAAGGAAACCGAATAGATCAAATTCTTCTAGCTAACGAAAACATCACTTTGAACAGACTTCAAACACCATAAGGTACTTAAAAATGCCTTTCTGCAGCTTTTGTTTCATTTGCCTCGTTGGGTGTCCCTGCCACCAGATCCCATAACGATTTGAAGAAGCAGTGTACCTTGAATGACTCAGTAATTAAGTCACGCACGACTTGGTAGCGAATTCAACTGAATTTCCAGTCGTAAAAGACCAGCAACAAATACAACATAGATTTCATTGAACGGGCAGTTGCTGACAAGTCGTGATTCCCAGTTCGCTTGCGTTACAAATTAAACATCTACGGCCAATGACGTCAATGATACTTTACTCGTTGTTCATCCATGACTTGAGTGATCCTGTTTCGTTCAGTTTCGCAAAGAGGTTAAAAACCGATAATCTTAATTTACCTGTCCTTGGAATTTATTAATTATGACTGTGATAACTAGCGTGAATCGGTTGGGTAAAACAGCCTTTTTGATTTAATGTATAATTTTAACGAGAACAGCACAACTGCAGCGTTATTGTAGCGTGTAATGTTTGTGTCGATTTTGTGGTTTGCTATTAAAATGCAAATTTACTAACAGAACTGACTGAAAATTGCTAAGTTTGGCTGTCAAATGTTTTAATTGACTTAAATACAGTCAGTATAATTGTGCTGTAAATATAACGAGATAACAACTCCGAAAAACATGTTGCTAACTTAAAAGATAAGTACAAGCAAGAAATGCACAACAAACAGAGAAATAAACGTAATTTTTCGGTTCTTATTGCAAGACCATTATAAAACGTAGCAATTATGGTACAGCGTTGAACTAACCAGGAGAGGCAGCTAGGGTTAAGGTGCGAAACACACTAATTATTGCAATAAGAATGCAGAACAAAATGTAAGGAGAGTATAAGAGACACTGCCAAAGTTAGAATTAAACTAAAACAATACGAGTTCTTTAGCGGCTTTGATGCCTCAATCAAGCTGAGGTTTGTACCTCTCAATTAGTAGAGATTCCAAGAAACATAACTAGTTAGGGATGAACCATTAGAAAAGTGATGGGTGGGGGGGGGGGTTGGGGGTAATTTTCAGCTTGCACGAATGTTTTTTTTTTTTTTTTTTCGCTCACTGCTTGTGCAGGATTTTTTTTCCAGGTAAAACCCTCTGCACGAATCTTTTTTTTCAGACAATATTGTTTTTTTTTTTTTGAAAAGTGAAATCTTGATTCGTTATCTATGTTTTTGTGCCTTATAAATTATTCCACACTCACAACAGATCAAAGGATAAAGGCCAGCTATTAATGCAAAATCTTTTCGAAAATGGAAACACAGTAAGAGAGAATAGAGTAGAATATTTACAGATACTAAATTCTAATATATATATATATATCTTTATTATAAATTTTATATGTTGAAAAGTTTAATATTGAAACTGTTCATGGATGATTAAATGTATTTATGATATTTACTATAACACAGAATACACTGTATGTTGCAGGTAGACTGGCTGCCAATGAAAACCATACTTTGTGGTTCTTAGTTTTTGTTAAAAGTACCGGTGGCAATGTTGCTGTTGATGTTGTTGACAGTTAAAGTTTAACACTTACTACTACATGTGAATGAACTTTTTCATTTTATTATAGAATTCTTATTCAAGGGAATAAGAACCATCCTCTAATTTTTATTGTGGGCACAAATAATTTTATAGAATATTTACAAAGATACCAAATTCAATATTTATTTATTATAAACTTTATTTTATTAGTTTTTATTATAACACAGTATACAGTGAATGTTGTAGGTACACCAGCTGCAATGTAAAACAAAAACAAGGTTCTAATTGTTTCCTTTCAATGAGAAGTAAAGTGATTTTTGTTTATTCATATTGTGCCTGTTAATATTGTTGATTTCTGAATGACATTTCTGGATTTCGTAGAATGAATTAATTTATGTCACCTTATATTTGTCATTTCAGGCAGTGTGAAGAAAACACTTCTGTACACTATTAGATGTCTTTATTTATTAATAATACTATAGCAGGGCCTGAGGTAAGGCCCAAAGAATATTTTGAATAAGAACTATAATTTATCTAACTCAATTATCTTATTAACTTCATCTGAGGATTTTATTGTGATTGTACTTTTAAACTTTTTAGATTTACCAAAGTTTAGCTACTGTATATTTATAATATCTACTCAGGACAAGCCTGAAAACCACCTGAGCGTGAGTTTGCCTCCTGCCTAAAGATATTTTATTATTATTATTATTATTATTATTATTATTATTGAAGTTTAAATCAACCAACCATATTCAAAGTTGTAATTACGTGTGTGCGTGCGTGCGCGCGCTTGTTTTTGTGTTTTTTAGCGCCTAATTGCCGGTAAGAGGCGCGGTGGCCTTACAATGTTTACATCTCCTTTGTAGGTATTTGAATGCAAATTTTCCCTTTCTTTCATAACTTGGCTATTAATTCTTCTTTTCTCGAAAATTGTAATTTTATGATTAATTGGGAATAAGACTTCGTGTCGTCCAATTCGGTCTGTAATCATACTCGTGATAAACAAATCGGACTCCCGCTGCGCGGTCGTCCGATTTTGTTATCACTCTTATGATAACAGACCGAATTGGACTCCACTCAGTCCTATTACCATTACTTATTTTTATGAGTTTAAGTCAAATTATTCTCGCAGTTTGATTAGTTGTTACAAATGATCTTTTGAAAGACAGACGCACAAATGAAGTCATTAACGACGTCACTAATCATAGCTTGGGTTATATATTTAGTAAAAAGTTATTTCCCACTTGTAAAAAGGATCACTATTTAAATTAAGAAAACATCATAAAGTCCAAATATAAAGCTAATCATAGCTATGATCTATAGCGTCAATGATAGTAGAGGAAGCCGGCTTCTCTTGTTAAACGCAAAATGACAAGAATTTTTTTACCTTACTCAAGTTCATTAAACAACTACTCAATGCGAACGACTTATTAAAAGCTGCAATAAGGGACAACAACTATTTATAAAACTAGAAAAGATAAATAAACATATTAGAGGACTGAATCATTGACAAAACTAATCATGGATCAATTATTAAAAGTTATGACGAGTGGAGATCAGTGACATGTTGATATCCCCGTCACTAGCACGATTAAACCTGTTTTCTACTGGTATTCTGTCGACGATGACGGCCTCAGTTTCATTTCAGTAAATACGTGTGACAGATTATGTCTGAAGTGGTACCAGGCGCCTGTGTGTTCTACAGCGCAGTTGGCTCTGTCCTTGTCATTATCTCTGTCTTTTGTACTAAACGCCATGTTATTATGATACCTAGTTTACGACCTAGTTAGGCAAGCCGAAATAGATAAGTTCCAATTGAATGAGACCAAGTGTAAAGAGTTGCAGATAAATCTCTCAAGGTCTGTAGATCCTTTCGAAGCAGTTACTATTAACAACAAACCAATTGAGGTTGTAACTAGCGCAAAACTTCTTGGTCTCACAATTTCAAACAATCTAAAGTGGAACGCTCACATAGAGAATGTTATCAAAAAAGGAGCTTCTAGGCTATATCTATTAAGGCAGCTTAAGCGTGCAAAAGGAGATCCTGCGCAGCTACTTTGTTTCTATACTACGTGTATCCGGCCCATGTCTGAATATGCCTGCCAAGTTTTCCACAATGGTCTGCCTGAGTATCTCTCTGAAGAGCTAGAGAAAATTCAGCGCCGTGCACTTAGAATTATTTTCCCAGATTTAGGCTATCAAGAGGCTCTCAAAGAGTGCAATATTTCCACCCTCCATCAACGGCGCCAATGGCTGACAGAGCGCCTATTCAATGAGATTAAGGACAACAGCCTCCACAAATTACATGGCCTTTTGCCGCCACGTAATCTTAGTACTGTAGCCTTAAGGAGAAAGCGCGCTTTTAACGTACCTCTTTGTAGAACAAATAGACTAATGAATAGTTTTATCATGCATAACGCGGCTATTTTCTAATGGTTTTATTGTAAATTCGCGGCTATTTTCTTAAATTTCATGACGTAGTATCTTTGTTCCTTTGTTTTATTTATTTACTGTTATTGATTTATAATAGTTAGTCTTAGTATTCAACGTATTGTACAGTCCGTAATCCAGCCCTTGGGCTGCAATGGATTTTTAATAAAGCTATCTATCTATCTCTCTATCTCTTATGATATGCTAACGAATATCGCACTGTACCTGAATATGAACCCACTTCAAGTCGATACTGCGCCTGCTCATCACTTATGTTGAACTTGTCATATTTGGCATAAGTTTAAACTCCGTTCCAGTCCTTCAGCTCAACTCGTAGGGAGCTCGGTATAGAGGCCGTCAGTAAGTGGATCTTGTCGTTTCTTAACCAGAACTCAGCAGTCAGCTGACCAAAGCCTGCTTTGTAGTCGTTCTTTCGCCGATTTAAGTCTACCGAGCCATCTTGTGTTCTCTGGAAAACGGTCCAGCCTCCACCGTCAGTGCGCATGTCACAGTAGACAGTAAAGTGTCCTCTACCGTCTGGGTTGACAGAGTACAATCCACTTCGAGTATGGCCTGATTTAAGCAGAACAATCTGACGAAAGAGAAGCCCATACATTAACTTTGTTTTTTCAATAACGGGTCTGTGGACATGCAGCAGACTAATTGGTCACTTACCTCTTCCTAACTTCAACGAAACTTATGGCTTCGATGTGAAACACTTCTGCACTTGTAGCCATGCAGATATAGTTCCCAGAATCCTCTCCAGGTGGCTTGACGGTAAACACAGGAAGTGAACCCACAACTAAGAGAACTTTTCTTTCAGCTTTTTCTAAAAGGTTGACTGCTGAATGTGTCAGAGTCACTTTTACGGACATCGGAAATTTGTAAGACACTGTTGTTATAGTGCACCCTCCCCTGGGGTAACTGACCAGACGACTCCCTCAAGGTCACCACTGGTACTGAATATCCGGTCACTTGACATACTGGAAAAATGACGTCTCTTTCTGTGACTTACGAAGGTCCGGGATGAACAGAGACGCGAGGTTGAACTGTAACCAAATGATTTTAATTCAGTAGAAATAGGCAAAAAACTCACAAGATGCGCGACACTAAAACGATAAACTAAAATATGAGGCTGAAAGCTCTTTAAAATGTCAAATAGTAGCTGGTTTGCTAAACGTTTCGGGCCTTAGATTTTCTCCCGTAGAAGAAGGACTACTAACTTTTAGCAAACTTCACAGTCGAACCTCCCGTAACAGAGCACCCAAAATGTCAAGCCTTGGTGGTGGCTAAAGAGAGGTGCTCGCTCACGAGAGCCTGGACCATATTGGGTCAAGATTTCCCCTCACGAGCCTAAGTTAACTGCAGACACTTACCCTATGTTTTAAATGTTTCATTCATCTGAAAAGCCAATTTCGAAAAAAATGCGGTACTTCCCATTTAGAAGTTTCCATCTCTTGTACAACTCAGGAATGTGAGAATGGTACAAAACTCCGCTCTATTAGCTTCTATTATCTGTCAAGTGGTCTCTTACAAGAGGTTAAAAACAAAGGAAAATTTTAAACTTTTAGCTCTAAAAGTGGTCGCAGTCACTTACGAGAGCTGTTCTCTTATAAGAGGTTCCAAATATAGTGATTTGGCTTGGAAAGTTTCGGTGTTTTGGAAAATTGGTCGCTGAGGAGAAGTGGTCGCAACCGGAGGTTCGACTTTAATTACAATTCAGCCTTGTTTGACGTCGACTTCTTGGTTTTAAGCTTTCTTTTTTTTTTCTGAGTATTGCTTTTTTTTATGCAAACTAGAAATGCATCAGATTTGTAGACGCTGCTCTAGCAGGATTTTTTTCCTTGAAACGCTAGCGCTTGTTTTGAATATTCGCCCAACAGTAACGTTTTCAGTACACCCTATCATTAAATGGCGTCAACAGGCCTGGAAGTGTAAAAGAGCGACGCGAGTGTTTAGTCTAAGTTTTACAGGAACATGAATAGTAGCTGTTTCCAAAGAGAACCCAACCAAATGTTTGAATTAATTTTACTATATAGAAACACAGCGAGTGTTGCGACTTCTAAAAGAACTTGACGCTTACGCCCTGGTGCGCGTGCAAGTATAGACTTTTTAATTGATTCAATTTCAGGCACGCGGCCATTGATTATTTTAAACAGTTTACTAAATTTGTTGTCGCAATATGTTTGTTGCGCGTGCTTAATAAGCGGATTTGGGATTTTGGAGTAGAACTGGCGATTTGTTATCATTTCGGTATTTTAAAGGGTTTTAATCGATTACTAGGAATTTTAAGGACTGTTGGGAAAATCGTCAGAAAAGCAAGTGTTTCTTGTATTTTTAAACTGAAAACAGCTCTTCGTGCTTCCAGAATCACAAACCTGACTGCCAGTAAAAACTGCACTGTGTAACAAAAAAAATTCATTGGAAAGCAAATAACCCGAAACTCACCATTTACTGCTAATCGTACCACATCCCGTGAATTCCCCGGAATGCTTGTTTCTGAACACTAATACATTCCTGAGTCTTTTCCTGTCACCTTCTTCAACTCCAGCTTTCCACGTGAAACCGCTGACTGAGTGATATCTGACTGACTGTTCAGTTTACTCCACGTTAATGCCGGCTTAGGATTATCACTGGCTGAACACTGAAACGAGATTGTTCCACCTTCGGTTACTGTCAACGTCGCAGGAGAAAAAACAACAGCAAGAGATGATATCGATTCTCCAAGTTCGCCTTTAGTTCCCGGCATGCTTTTGGGTCCTATGTCTCCTTTTTCGCCATTGTTTCCAGTCTCTCCCTGTGGTCCTACAGGTCCCATAATGCCTTGCTTGCCGATCTTTACTGGCGATCCCATAATACCTTGATCTCCCTTGTTTCCAGTCCTTCCTTGCTATCCTCTTGGTCTAGGCGAACTGGGAAGGCCTGGGAGACAAAACGAGCACGTGACGCCCTTTGACTGACAGAGATGCACTCCCGCCTCTGATAAAAGCTTGTTGATTTTGATCATCATTTCTGCTGTGTGATTAGCTTCCGTCGAGTAGGCGATTGAGCTTGACGGCTGTGTCTGTGAAATTTAGCTAACTGAACTTCTGCGAAGAAAAGAAAAGGGCTTTAAAATGTGAAACGTAAACTCTCTTAGCTTAGTTTTAAAGATAAGAAGTATATTTAAAAGAGACTGTTCTGACATCATTGGCGAAGGCGAGCATAACCGCATGAGATGATTGAGACGGAAATACTTGACTGATTTATTTATTCTAGATTCATCCACGGTAATTCGAGTATCCGTAGACAACCTATCCTTTGTTCATTTTTTGATGTGAAATGATAAAAAACCGACACTAAGTTTGATCGAACTGAAATTGACATGGAGCTTGCTTTTTATCAATGTTTTAGTGAGAATTGAAGAGAAATATTTCTGAATCGATGTCTGTGGTGGATTGAATAAAACTTATACTATATCCTCCAAATTTCTTTGAAAACGGAACTAGCTAGAAAACGTTCTTTCGTTATTTGCTTTAACTCTTAGCTTTTTTTCACAGTGTATTCAATCGGATCAAGCTTCGTTTCTGATGACTGAAACACAAACTGTAAACCCTTGCTTGGATAAGATTCACTTACCCGGAGCATCCTCATGTCTGCGTCATTTCACGACCACTTGGCCTCCGCAACGCTTTCAAGAGCGTTTATTCTTTTCTTTTGCTCCTATAGTTCCAGCTCAACTCCTAAAAAGCCGGCGTAGTAAAACACAACGGAGAGAACAGAAATAATAGAAGCAAAGGAAGGCATACTTTGCTTTTGAACAGCCATTGTTTTCAGAGATATTCAGCAATCTGTGTTTTTACATCGTAGTGGAAACAACTAAGTACCTCTTCAACCCGTCACTTGGTACCGAGATCTCGAGTGTGGGTAACTCCAAATAGCAAGCTATTCAAGTCAAAGCGGGGGACGTAGCAACCATATAGGCATGTACGCACGTGCTTAGCTCTAGAAATCTCAAAAAACGTATTCATTTATATCTTTATTGGCGAAAAGTGTCGTTAGCGATAAATCGGCTGATTTGATAGAGTTCTTATCATTACGTTGCTGTAATTTTACGATATGTAATACGTACATCAGAAACGCTAGTCGGTTCAAGACTAAGGCCCGGGTCGCAGTAGAGCCAATTTTAGCCAATTTTATTTTTATAAGTAATAAATCTGTCAACAAGTAGCGCAAGATAAGTGCGACCCCCATTTCCAAAATCCTGCCAAATTTTTGCGAATTGCCAAAATTTCGCCAATCTTCAAAGAAGCCGAAGTGCTGCCTCAGAGGCTTCCAAATTTTGGCAAAGCAAACAATTTTTTTTTGTTTTTTAACCATTTAACTGTCAAGTTTCTTAAAACATGTATGGATATTTACGGCGGGAACAATAACCTTTCTCTGCTAGTCCAGTTTAGCACGCACAATGGCGGGACAAAAATATTTTTTACCCGGTGATCAATCCGACCCTTTCTACGGTTTTTACAATGCAATCGAGGAATATGAGCGACGTTTTTTCCAAATGCTATGACTCGGAATGTTTCCATCGTGGAAATGTATCTCAAACCATGACTCTACCGGACGCGGTAAAGTCCATGACAAGGAAGGTTTCGTAAACGACGTCTATTCAAGCGAACCCTACGTCTTCTAATAGCAGACACTAACCTTAGAAAAGCCTGATGATAATGCACGAACGATAGTAAAAACGCTACATTGTTTTGTTGAGGCTGAAACACAAAATTCAACAAAAACCCGAAGGCTGCGAAAATAATCATGATCCATTCTTGCAAAATTAACGCGCGAGACGTTTTGTTGTCGGTAGATCTTGTGACGTACATGTCAATCCGCGATGTTTTGGTTCAAAAATGTTGGTCTGATGCGACCGCCAACAAAAATTGGAAATTGAAATGTTTGCCAATTTGTTTTCCTCGCCAAAAATTGGAAATGTTTGAAATACTTGAATTCGCTCTACTGCGACCCGGAGCTGGCTTCACTCATCACCACGATAATAACAAACTAAAAAATAAAAAACAAAAATAAAGATAGATAGGAAACTACAAATCCCAATACAGAGTTGACCGTTTGAACCCTTGGAATGTTTTCTTTTTCTTTTCTGAGGTGCATGAAGAGATTGAAATTGAAAACCACACTTCATAGCGAAGCCCCTGCGCGCTGAAGGCGCGCGAGCGGAGCCCCATACCCATATAGGAAAGAAGAGGAAACCCATGAATTGATTTTCTCATGGTAATCATGGCTAGCGGTATTCCTCGTGGGCGCGTACGCACGACGACGACGACGACGAGGACGGCGACGACGGAGTCGCGCAAGATGGCGGCCAGAATAGGTTGACAGAGACGTTCGCCCTTGGCTTATAGCATCCCTCTTTGATATTGGACATCCCTGTTCTGGTCAATTGACACCTGTCAAAACAAGGTATCCGCTGACCAGTATCACGTGATCATATCGCGGGCTCAGGTTTATAGCTCAGCGAGGTTATGTGTTTTTTTAAGGTGACCGCTGACCAAGTGCTGGTTTTGGATTGGATCGCGGGCTCATGTTAGGTCATTTTGTTGGAAACAGGGCCGGGTTGTTCGGAACCCGGTTAACGCTAACCCAGGATAAAATGTTAACCGAGGTATAAATTTTTCTTGTAAACAATACAGTGTTTTTGCTTTGTCGGATTATTCAAACTCAAAACAGAGGCCAAACAATATACAGAAAACCTCACCGCAAAGTTACAAAACTCAAAACAAAATTGTCGCTTGTCCTGGGGTAGCTTAATCGGGCTTTGAACAACCCGGCCCAGGAGCTTCGCTTTTAGGCTTGGCTAAAGCTATATATTATGAACGATGAGAGGTTGTCCTGTCTGGCAATTCTTCACACACATAAGGATAAGGATGTCAGACATTGTCTGAAGGGAACACATTGTTCCCTTTGCTACAAATCACTTTGTAAACTATTTTCTCCATAAAAACAACGTATGCTACGCTCAACGTTTTCTTCTTGTCTTGATTTTTGAAACTGTACCCTGAGAAACGAGCGAAATGGCATTTCCGAGCACCTCAAAGTAAGCATTTCTTGGGCAGCCATGCCACCAAACCTTGCAAGGGGCTCTTGCCTTCGTGTGCTACCCTGATGCGTTTCATATTAAAACGTTTAAAGTTTTACTTGCTTTAGATAGAAATCGTCATCAATGTAGTATTTTTAACAATTATTCGCCGAAGGCGAAGTTAATATTGGTGAATAATCCCCGAGACGAAGTCGAGGGGATTATTCAACAATATTAACTGAGCCTGAGGTGAATAATTGTTTTAGTATATTCACACGAAGTGATCTCAACGGAAGCAGAAAGGAAACCATTAAAAAACGATTAGTTTGATTGACGGGTGAAAATTCATGCGTGAACACGAAGCCGTAAACAGTGGATGCGCAAAAGTTAGATCTTTACAGTATCTTCAAACGTGGCAAATGATAGTTTTAATCCTTTTGTATCGAGTTTTGTAAGCTTTAGCATCAACGGTTTAAAAGAAAACGCCCAAAATTTAAATTACTACCCAATTCTGAGAAGAAAAGTATCTAGAGCTTTATTTGTTTCTGTCAACTCACCGTGAATGAGAAAGTTTTCTTCGTCGCTTCTTGCAAATGCTGTCAACAGCGGCTGCGATCAAGGTGAGCGTTGATTATCTCCAAAGTTCTTTGCCTTGTTAACTTGCTGGCACGTACAATTTTCGAAAATATTTACCTTCCTCTCTTCTCCATAAATTAACTTCTATTTATAGGCAAAATTGGTCTTGCGAGAAAATCCCGAAATCACAAAACAGTGACAAAGCGACCTCGTTTTCCTCTGTAGTGGTAAACATAGCTTCGAGCGTACAAAAAGTCAGCTAAAGTAAACCACTTCACAATAAATCACGCTGTTTAAACACCATGAAGTCTTTTCTTGCCTTCAAAGTCATCAGCACTTGGATATTCGTGTATTTTCAAAAAGGTTTTACTTTGAAACTTTGGCAAAACACCCAGTTCACGACAGCGATTTTGTTCGGCTTTATATTCACCGCCTAGCGCGGTGAATATAACGTCATAGTCCGAGATAGCTAACCAATCAGATTGCTTGAATTACCAAGATCACTGAGTGTGTATATACTAAATATATATATATAAATATCGAGAATCTGTTACCAGGATTGATCATAATAATATTGAATAAAACATTCTCTGGAGAGTACTGTATATCGTTTATCAACATTTATAGTTTTTCTCAGCCCTTTCGATTTGTAATATTTACCTCTTATAAATAATCTCAGCAGATAATTTTTCTTACTTTCTTTTTTTTCCTGATCTCCGGCTGATAGCAGCGTTTCGTCAAGATTGGCTGACTGATTTTCACATTAAATAGTGTTATTAATGTTTTGTTATACAGCCGACAATTTTCTAGCATACCCTATAACCATGATAAACTAGGTCCAAGACAGGTGCTTCCTCAGTTACTTGATGTAATACAAGATGTTAACAAAGGCAGCTCCAAACACAAGCACAACACTGAAGAGGACATTGCGACCATCTGGACTAGCTGCAGATGCTGCTAAAGCTGTGCAAGAGAAATTAGTGTAAGATCAATTAATTCGTTGATGTAAATTATTCCGAACGGGAGTAAAACTCAATACCATTTTACGTGAGAGTACTCCCATGGCCCTAGGAAACCCCAGCATAGTCCCTAGGCGTTTTCTCTCACGTCGCTGCCCGCGCGAAGTTAGGGAAGGCGTGGGCGAACGGCGAGTGCTTTTCGGTGACGCCACAACTCATGGCAGATCCCAGACTTCCTGCGCCGAGAACGGC